AATCTACCCATTGGGATGGAGCTTCCAGGTTAGTACGAATCTGATTTCCCCATGTTTTATGGCTCAAGCACATGGTGTCTTCAACAAGAGGGTTTCACCATCAAGTTCTGGAGAGTAACCAACAGTGTTAGCAATAGCCTATAATGTTTGGGGCCTATGAGACTTCACTTGCCATCAACTCCCAAGGAGATAAAGAGCCCCCGTGTCAGGAATTGTTTACTTGTTATCCTGTGTTAACTAGTAGGAACACTGTTGATCCCCATTACACGGTAACTCCAGTTAAACTCTGTGTGTCTGTGTGAGCAAGCATGCGCACCCAAGAAATTCCTGGGTCTTGTGATAGACCTATTTCTAGTTTGTGAGATATTGCTTTGAATACTGACTGCACCAGTTTGTACTCCCATCAGTACTGAATAAGCGTTCCTCATTTCCTACACCAAAACCAGCACACTGGCATTTGTCATTTGGTTTGGGTATTTATTTATTTTGGATTGCAGCCATTCTGATTGGAGTAAGTTGAAATCTCAGAGTAAATTAAATTTGCATTTCCCTAATAGCCATGGATGTTAAGCATTTTTAAGTGCTTTTCAGCCATTTGTATTTCTCCTCTTGAGAATTCCCTATGTAGTTCCATGCCCCAGTTTTTAACTGAGTTGTTTGCTTTCTTGATATTTAGTTTTTTCAGTTCCTTGTATAATCTCCATAGTAACCCTGTCTGATGTATGGGCTGTCACTTCACTAAATGACAGTGGCCTTCCCTTACAGAAGCTTCTGAGTTTTATGAGGTCCCGTTTGTCAAGGGTTAGGACCTTGCTCAGAAGTCCTTTCCTGCACCAATGAGTGCAAGATAGACCCTACTCTCTCATCCATCAGATTTAGAGTATCAGGTCCTATGCTGAGGACCTTGATCCATTTAGAGTTGAGTTTTGTGCAGCATGAATGACAAGGATCAGCTCCTGTTCTTCACGTAGCTCCTTGTTGACCAGGACCATTTGTTGAAGACACTGCTTCCTTCTCCAATGTGTATTGTTCACCTCTTTGTCAAATCTCAGGGGGCTATAAATGTGGGACTTCTGTGTGTACCCTTAATCCTATTTCACTGACCAATGTGTCTATGTTCATGGCAGGACCATGCTGCTTTTATTACTATAGATCTGTAGTATAATGTGAAACCTGGGATGGCGATGCCACTAGCCATTATTTTATTGTTAGAATTGTTTGGGCTGCCCTGTGCCTTTTGTGTTTCCATGTGAGCTTTTTGAATCTGTGTGTGATGTCTGTAGGATGGCCATTTGCACAGTCATGATCCTGCGATACCTGAGCATGGAGATGTTTCCACCTTCTGCTGTCTTCTTCAGTTTCTGCCTCCGTGTCATAAAGGGATTTCATCGTGCAAGTCTTGGATTAGATAATGTTTTAGGCTGTCTCGAATGGAACTGTTCCCAGTAAGCTTCTTTTGTTTGAAGTATCAAGTGTCAGAGGTCTGTTCTGACAAGAGACACTCTGAGTGTTCTGCATAGGAAGAAGTGCTGTGCCAACAGTGCCACAACATAGACCTGGCCCTGGGTCACATCCACATTGGCCACAGGGCTCTGCATCTCTGGAGTCCACCCTCAGACCAGCTTCTGATGAACAAGCATCCTATAGAACCCAAGGATCCACATGGCAAATGCAAAGACATCCCAGACAATGGAGGAAACAGTAAATATTTTCTGCTCTGTCTCACTGGAATGAATGGATATGACATGCAGTAGATTCTAGCTAGCTACCTTTCAAATAGTTGCTAGGACGTATATAAATTCTTTCCTGATGGGGTTGGCAGATTTAGTATATAAAAAATACCAAATTCATAGTGAAATTCAAGTTCAGATAAACAAAAGCATTCTGTCCCATGAAATATGTCTCATACTGTATGTGAGACATTCTTGTGCCGCAAAATTGTTTACCTGGAGTTTAAATTTAGCTATGCACAGTATATCTTATTGAGCAACTGTTTGCTTTTGTTTATTTAAAATTGTTGTTAGTTGACATATATAAATTCAATTGCAGGGTGTCAGGGTCGGGGGTGGGGGTGGGGAGGGTATTTAGAGACAGGGTTTCTCTGTGTTACAATCCTGGCTGTCCTGGAATTCACTTTGTAGACCAGACTGGCCTCTTTGGTCAGCTTGCCATTTTCAATAAACAAAATTTCTTATAGCTATGTTTGCTATGTGTTTCTCTGTGCATCTTACTGCACTAATAGGCAGAGTTGTAAATGATATTTTGGTTTTACATTTTTCCAAAATGACAGGTGTCGGATGCATTTTATCTGAGAATTTATCTAAAGTTTCCTATCAGGCTTATCTAAGCTTCCTCATCCTCATCCGTAACCACTCATGTTTTATTTAGTTCAGTGCTACCTGGAAGCCTTCTGCTTCTGTGGTCTCAAAACTCAAGCAAGGTGTTTGAATTTGTGTGCTTACAGAATTGCATGCTGCTGAATGTGAAAGAAAGTAAATGACAACAAAGTTTTGTCTTAAACAAAACTCCAGTCCCTCAGGAGGATTCTAATCTGCACATCCTATAGCCAGGAACTAAAACATAGAGGAGCCTATTTCCTATGGCCTTGGTTTTGTCTTGAAGATGGCCTTAGCTCTAAAAAGCCTGGGGGAAAAGAGTTTATATCTCACCTTGTTTCCCTGGGGCTGAGCAATTAGAGGCCCACAAAGCAATTGTCTCATCAAACCTAGTAAAATGCACAGGACAGAGGAAGCTAGGGCCCCAGGCGAAATGCATATGTTTCCAGAGACCAGGGGAAGAGGTGATCTGCAAGACCAAAACGCAGCAAGCAATTTTTAAATAAAAATGCCAGTTAGAATTGCTGCAAACAGTCACTCTATAAACATATGTGTGTGCATGTGTTTATGCATAAGACTTTCTCAGTTGTCAGAAGTCTATGATCTCCTACCAGAAGACAAAATCAGAAATAAACCTCACTAAGACTTAAAAAGTTTTACTTTGACCCACTCTATTATAATATTTCTATAGTTCTGTCAATAAAGTTGAGCAGAAGACTGGAGGTTAATCATGTAGAAAGCTTACCCTTTGGCCTAATCAGGACTAAGCTGAATGCATCTGAGATAGATGTTTTTAGTCAGATCGACTTCAATGTTTGTAGCATGATTATGAAAGTGTCCATTATTGCTTCTAAGGAATATATTCTGATACTTCCTCTCACCTATCTCCAAACTCCTCATTGGTTATCACCAGAGACAGCAGCCTCAGCCACTCAGTGTTTCTCAGCAGTAGACATACTGCAGAAACTGCCATACTGAGAACAGAGAAGAAGTTGTGGGCCCACCCCTGCCATGAGGTCCACCTGAGTGAAAGCTTTATAAGAAAGGGAACTGCGGTGTCTATGGTGGGTTTATCATCCAGTCTCCTTGGCCAGGCCCCTCTTGGGCCATTCTAGTCCTAGCATCATAACTGCTGAGGGTCAGGTGACCATACACCTTTTACGGGAGGAAGAATATATATTTTTTAAATAGTGTTGCATGTGGAGACAATAGTTCTATAACAGAACACTTTTAACACTTCTGCCTCAAAGTCAGAGGAACTTCTACTACTGAAGACTGACAGCACAGGAGGAGTGAAGGAAATCTGAATGTTTGGACATTGTGAAACTGTGTAAATGACATATTTTCTCAAAAACAGAAAAATTCTCATTGGCAATTCCTCAAAAGCTAAAATAATGGCAAGTGGATTCATTCCGCCACTTTTAAGCTCAGGGGTATATTGTTGTCATTGGCATTTTATAGAATGGTCAAGGAAAGAAATGAATGTAGTTGTTTTATCCTCAAGTCTTTAAAAAAGTCCTTATAACCAAATCACACATTGATTAGAATTTATTTCATGACATAAAAAATAGAGTATAATGGGACAAACATTGGTTCTACTATGATGGTAGTTACTGACATCTGAACACTAGATCAGCTATCCCACAAAAGGCTGTAAAGTATACTAGACTGCACAGGTCCCTCACTTCCTTGTGAAAGGTTACAATGGTCTGAGGGACAATTAGTTGGATTCCTCAAGCATCTGGATAATTCTGTGTCCAAATGTCTGGAGATTTTTCTTGGAAATAGGTCACGATTGTCATCTCTTCCTGTTTTGGCAGTCTTGATATTAAAAATGATAAGCATGACATGCGGAAGAGCCTCAGTGTTTCATTTTTATTGGACATTCTATTAGATATCACCTAATATTAATAAGAGTAAAAAATTGTTGAAAGGGGAAGATATGATATGAGAAGAAAGTAGTTTTCCTGTGTTTGGCAGATTACATTTTGGATTATCAGGACGGTATATGTCAGTTCCAACACCATTATGTTGAAGTGCCTTACTATTTTCTTTTCAAAAACAAACACTGCCTTGCTTTCTCATGGCATGTGCTAGTTTTGGGGCACAAGGACAATAAAACTTGCAATGGAGGGGTACCAGTGGGGGAACAGTAGCATGCAAGATTTAATAAGATCTGAGACTTAGTAGAGATGTATTCATTATTTTTGAGTATAGAATAAATGAGGATTTGTTGTTTTTAAAGTATATAAAATTGATCCATAAACTCAGAATTGCTTCTCACACTAAGCCATGTTATTTACCTCTAAAAGTCTAACTTTTTACCTCTGTGCTGTCCGCACCTCTCCTGCTTGTGCTGGGTGACAAGAACCACCAAGGATGACTCAGGACAGGCCTTTCTAAAGCAGGTGTCTGCCATTGTCACCCACCTCCTATGCACCTCAGAATTCTCAGCTGCCAAGGGAAGAAAAGTGTTCTTAGACTCATTGACATAATTCCCATGAGATTCCTTGAGCTCCTTGAAGAAAGCTGCACAGCCCTTCAGGGTTGTTTTTGGTGCTCTCAACTCATCTGAAGTGAAATACAATCAGCTTAACATCATGCTGTCTGTGCTTGGCAGTGGGACGTGTTTTCCAAGTTCAAATGTTGTTTTCTTTATTCCAGGTTTCTTTTCTCCGTGGAAAACTCCAAAGCCTGTAAGTTGAAAATCCTATGCTTTTTTTTTCTTTATTTCCATTTACTATTTAAGCCCCTTAAATAAACAGGGAATTGAGTAGCCTTAAGTGTTCTTGCACCCGAGATTCCAGGATATCAGAAGAAAAGAGCCTCTGTGCCCTTCTGTCCTCTCTTGCCCTCAAACACAATGATAACTCATTGTATTTCCTGCAGCTATGCCCATTCTTTAATTTAAATTAGAAACAATCTTGTTTTACATGTCAATCCCAGTTCCCTCTCCCGCCCTATATATATAACGCATGCAGGTTAAATATAAACTGTGAGGTGTGCCGACAATATACGGTACAATAAGCCTTACTGTCAGTGCTGAGAGCCGTCTCTGCCCAAAGGAAAACGCACATCTGCAGTCACCTTCCAGCCCTTGTCTTCTGTTGTCCTCCAACACAAGAATCACTCATCTTACAGATCTATGATTATTCCCATTTTTAAAATGGACCATCAACATTATTCAGGACGATGTGACAAAACACTTTAAAACCTTCTGTTTTCCTATCACAAACACTATATGGTCATGTAGTCACACTGAGTTTTTAAAACTAATACATACTATAGGGCTGAAGGGTTAATCCTGCAAATTAAATATGGTCTGCAGGAAACTTATTTCCATTTGTGTTTACATTCTAATGACTATAGACATAAATATAAATATATGTATGCATATTTACATATATATTCTAGCTCTGTATAGATAATTCTATGTAATAAGTACCCTGAGTATATATATTACATGTATCATTCTACATTCTACAATATACATTGTAAACATGACAGCCACTCAGAGTAGTGCTTCTAATATTCTTCAGATACTCAAAACTTCTACCATCACCTAACCTCTCTGGCCCTACTTCTCTTTTAAAGATACTAAAACTTGATGACAACATAGGAAAGTAGTAACTTTCACTAATGATTTTACAAAGCTAGGATCGCTTAGTGGCTTTAATGGTCAAGTGCCTTCACTTGTCCCTAAGGGTGAAACTATAACTGGAATCGTCACCCTTCTAGCACTGTGACAAAGTGCCTGAGATAAAGACTACCCTATGAAGAGGTTTTGAAGGTTCCTGTCTATGATTGGCTGGCCATGGTGCTCAAAACATACACACTAGGCAGCACCTTGTGGTGAGAACGTTCCTTTCATCCCAAGCCAGGAAGCAAGAGAAGTGGAAAGGGCTTACAGTCCTCTTCACACACTCGGGCATACTCCATATCCCAAGATCCCCTACTTCCCAGGCATACTGTTCCTGCGGCCAAGCCTTTACTACATGGACATTCACCAGGGTTAACTGCCTAAATCTCCTAAGCTGGGTTGCTTTCTGGGTCTCCTTTATGCTACCCTAATAGAATATCTACGCCCTCCCCCTGGACAGGGACAGTGGAAAAGCAGGACTCTCACCAAGGACATCCTCATTTATGACTCTGCTCTGCAGAACACACCAAAGGTGTAAATCAGGTGCTTTAAACTTAGTAAATCACTTCGTGATGTATGCAGTTTTGAAAGAGGTATTTTTAAATGCATGAAATGAACTATGGTTCATCTTGCCATACTTCTAAATACTTTCATACTTCCATCCCCAACTCAAACCTGGCCCTGTGGTTATACACATCTTTATCTGATTTAACCAGGAACTTTGCAGCCTCATCATAGTGGGACAATTATGCAATCGAGTGATTTCCTTATATGTACCACAGTCACACAAATTATGTCATTTGACATAATTACAGCATTTGCCATCATTATAGTAATTACAACCATAGTCAATAATTCCCAAAAAGGCTTTATAGAACTCAACGTACAATTAATCCTGAACCTGTGCATCTTTACAAGAACTAAGGCCTGGACTTCCAGATTACAGGCTGAGTAAATATATAAAGGCCTGTGATTTAACGCTCTCCGTGTCTCTATACAAAATGGAACTAAGGGTCATAAGAGGATAGTGTAAGGCCCAACGGGTTAGAATATAGACTCTTAAGCATACTGCCTGGGTTCAAGTGCTGCTGCTTTTCCTTATTGATTTATGACCTTAAAGCAGCTGCTTAAGACCTCTGCATCTCAAGGACTCCATTTGTAAAATGAAAGTAATGGTGCTGCCCTCTTATCTGTGGCTGTGGGGATTCTAAGTAAATCCATGTAAAGTGCTTACAACCGTACTTCAACACGTTGAGCTCAGAAATGTAAACATCTATCATTGCAGAAAGCAGATGCCAGTGCACCAACCCTTTGCAAGTAAATCATGCCCCAAAATGAATACAATGTGCTAAGTGGTTCATTGAAACAAATACACCACAGCCACAGTGTCTGGGTTCAGACACCCTCTTCTGAGTAAGACTGATGATATACTTAAAGCAAGGAAACATGCTAAATGAGACCTAGCCTCCTGCTTGGTCTCAACCAAGTGGCCCTAAGGGACTTTACCTAATAAGTAAGATGCTACTCATAATGCATTGTCTTTGCATGGCAGGATCTAGGTGTATGTTTCAAGCATAGGATCAAACCTTCATTGTCCAGCCCCACCTTACAGTACAGGATAGATTTAGGCTCATTAGGGTGTGCTTATCCTGCTCTCAAAAGGAAGAAAACAACTTCTAGAAATAGCATTTTGTTGAGGGAAAGCCTATCTCATTCCTGTGTACACCCAAGAATCAGAAACTGGGGATAAAGCAAATTACTACAACATTGAGTTTCTCTAATTTTTTTAATGTCTGATGTCTGGGTGTAGACTGTATGTTTTCTCTGTCTCCTCATAGTTCAGATCCTGAGATTTCATAGTGTCAGACATTCATTCATTTATGCATTAATCAGTCATTAGTTCAAAGGGAGCAAAGCTTCTCCCACACATTAAAAAATAATAAACTTCATTTCCATTGTCAGTCTAGTGAGATTTTTACAAATATCAACCTACTTATGGTCACTGCTGAGACAAAACAAGAGAACCCCAATAATCCCTGCCGAGAGATATGTCTGGCAAGAATTATAAATTGTGAATGGCCCAAGACCCAAGGCCAGGAAGTCAGTAGACACAGCAAGTAAGACCCATGGCCCTGAGCAATGGGCCAGCATTTACATTCAGGTATTCATGGAGTCTGGAAACCTAGTCTCTCAGAAAATAAGAAGGAGTCAGAGAACCAACCACATTCCAGCCTCAGATCCGGATGGCTGTAAACCAGGGTAAACATTACTCAGTAGCATCCTGGTTGGAAATCCCAGCAAGCCTGTTGTGAAGGAGCAGGCTAGGAGCAACATGGAGGAGAAGACTAGAAGTCTACTTTCCCACAGACAGGGTTTCCTGCTCTACCGTTTTTAAAGCACCCCTGACAAAATGACTTGAGGTTGATGAATGTAATTGCAAGAAGTTATGGATGCTTTACTAAGCATCAACTGTACTCTTGACCAATTTCCCAGTCTCTGTGCTATAGAAATTGTGGAATTCGTCAATCTGTCCAAAGCATTATTTGTTCTGTAGCTTTATGATTGTTTTTTAGAAATACCAATATTTCACCTGAAGCATAGTCCCCTTGGTGGTTATACATGAGTAATATGCACACCAGCAAAACACATGTGAAAATCAGAAAAATCCTCAGTGGAAGATAAAAAAAAAGTGCATTTCCTGAAGCCCCTGGCTGGCAAGTAGGATGTTAACCCTCTCAGAGCATATTACTCTTCAAATCTTAAGTGTGGAATCAGAACTGAGAACATCATAGCTAGAATGTGTCCATGCAGCACCTAAAAGCAATTAAACTGATCATTTGAAAAAGATATGCCTTTAGACACAATTGTGACCTAGTACATCATAGCAAAGTCACCATTATGGATGAAAAGCAAAATCCCAGCAGAGCTTCCTATATGAATGTCTCTATTAAGTTTGAAATGCTTATTTAAGGCTTTTTGCTAAGTAGAAGTAAAAGCCCCAGTGAGATAAAATTAACTCCAGTTTTTACAATACTTACAAGATTTGTCCCCAAAGTGTTATGGTTTAAACAAATAGGCCTGTTAGAATTAGAAGTTGGTTCTGACCAAGATCTGTTGTTGGCCCTCAGGCAAGCCAATTACCCTCTCTGTGCTTCTAGAGATTATATTTAATATGAAACAGCTGAACTCCTCCTTGCTTGCTATAAAAACCATCTAAATGAAATCTTGGGCCAGATCCCATACAGAAACAATTTAAATCCAGTCTTACTGAATTAAGAGTCAGTAACCTACTTATTTCCTAGCTTGCTATGTTTAGTTTCAACATGAACCCCTGCCACAGCTCCAGGTGGTGGTGGGAGGGGCAGAGGGATCCCTGCTGTTACCCATGGCATGTCTAGGAAGGACAGGGTATGTGTCATTCACATCCCTTTCCGCCTTAAAAGTACTGATGACTGGCAGACAAGAAGGGCTGTTGGAATCCTGACCAAAATATACCCAGGGTAAAAACAAGAGCAAGAAAATGAAGTAGAAAAAAACAAAAAAGCTTTATATCTGTATCAGTTTTTTAAGTATCCATATTTTAATTATGAGTTCATTAATTCACTTAAGACTGCTTTCTGAAAACCTACTACATATGGACCTGTATTGACAGCTGGGAGTGTAAGTGATACTGGGAGCAGGGAGCAAAGTTGAGTAGGATCACCCCAATAGGTGGACCAGGTCGTCTAGGGTAAGAGACATCTATCTGCACCTAGTGTCCAGGTAAAATGAGGGGAGTGATGTAGGTAGGAGAAATAGAGTCTTCAAAGCTTCAGAAGCAGGAAGTGTGTGGGGGAGCCAGGGAAGGGTGTGAGTAAAGTGAGCAGACCCCACAGCCTGATGGGAATTTGACCTTGACCCTGAGAATCCTACTTTGGCCCTGCACAGAACTACAGGCAAGGGGCTATCATCATCACAGTTTACACATACTGTGTGCTTATTAAAAGTAGGGAGACAGGAGTCAAACTTGAAGGAAGAACCACTAGCTGAATAAGGTAACACTAGCAATGACAACAGCCTTCTGGCCAAATGGCTGGTGTTAGTTCTAGCTGCATGTATGTCCCATGCTATGGTGATTACCAGGAATCATGCACAGCCAGTCAGGAAGCAGTTAACTATAGTGCTAGCAGAGATATTTTAGCAGAGCCATTACCACACCCACAGTGAATAAGACTCCCTAGAAGAATGTAGTCCATTGATCCCAGATGGTCCTAGATGTGCAAACTGTAGGGGAAGTAACAGAATGTTTGGCTGCAAGAGGGGGTTAGGATGTGTGCAGGTGTTAAGTGAACATGTACTGTCTACTTGACTTCCTACTTTAGAATAGTGGTATGGTAAATCGGAACCATCTTCAGAAAAGAACAAATATTACCCTCTTCCTGAATATGTGCACATAAATGCCCCTGGGATACTCGCCATGTTTTCTAAGGAAAAGCATCAAAGAAATGAAGTTTATCAAAGAGTCCTAGTTACTATGTGGCAAGGTTATGTAGGCTGCATTCAAACCCTAGGCACTACTTTCACTTAGAGAAGTCTATGCTGCCTTCTTACTAGAAATAAAGATGATTTGCCTTCGAGGCCTGCATACCAAACTCTTCTTGAGGACAAAAGCTGCCAAGGCAAGAAAGTCTATGTAAAGGTAACATGGGGAATAGCCATGCTGAGTCCACCATCAGTCATGTTCTTCGTTCTCCTTTTTTCAGATGATGGACCGGTGGGAGAATCAAGGCAGTCCTCAAACAAGTTTATCTGCTCCAGCCGTCCCACAGAACCTGCCCTTCCCACCTGCCCTTCACAGGAGCTCCTTTCCCGACTCAACAGAGGCCTTTGACCCACGGAAGCCTGACCCATATGAGCTCTATGAGAAATCAAGAGCCATTTATGAAAGTAGGCGTAAGTGAAAGCCATGTAAATTAAGGGTACATTGACAGTGGCTGGCACCAGCCAAGGGAACACATGGGGGCTGAATAATCGGGCATGAGTTGACCTTCTGAGGCTCAAAGGTTTCTCCAAAATAGGACAGCTGGTCTACAGTTGTCCTTAAAGCCTGGCTTCTCTTTCGTATAATTGCATTTTAATTGACAATGCTTTAATTTTTAAGGGGTACAATGTGATATTTCCATACATGTGTGCATTGTAGAATGATCAAATCAGGATAATTAGCATATCAAAGAAAGGATAACTATAATAAGACCCATCCTGTCTTTTACCTAATTTTAAATATGTATTATGAATAGCTACATTGATGTGTGACAGAATTTAGTGCCTTCCCAGCTAACCGATCTTTATACTCATTGACATAAAGAACCTGTTGCTTCTAAAAGTATCTTTGGGGTTTAAATTGCATTTCCTACTTTGGCCCCTAAGCTCCTGAAGAAATGAGCATGGAGTGGAGTTGCTAGTTTGGTTCAAGTCACCACATAAAATAAAATAAGGTTTGCAACTTCTAATCCATTCAACCTGACCTTGAATCTAAAGCTTACCTTTTGTTGTCTTAGAGCCTAGAGGCTTGGAGAAATCCAGGCCTTGAGTAACAAAATTTCAGGCAAGTTTTCCCAACTCAGAGTCATGAATCAATTCGTCCCCAAAGCAGGTAGAAGCAGATGCCAGTCATTCAGGCCTGAATCTTCTGCTGCCATTTAATGCACCCAGGTACCTGCCTCCTTATTGGAAGACCTTTGTAATTATTTGAGCTTTTAATATCAAATGTACATTGTACAGGTCACTTCCTCCATGGAAACTAAATGACAGGGGTGTATAAAACAGGACACTGACTACTAAGAATCTGAGAAATGATAGAGAAATCAAGCTTAGTTGCAAAGGCTTTGGTCCCTGGCGCTTCCCTTCACAGTCTGCTGGTTCCCTTTGTTTCATCTCCCTGCCTCCAACACATCGTTTCCAACTTCATCATCTGAAGCATGAATAGGAAGTTTTAAATTGTGTGTGGCCTCAGAGGGTCTTGAATCCGCTTAGTCCTTTGATGAGTTCAGGGGCTGAGAATTGTGCACCCAGCTGGTAAGGGGAAAGCAAACATAATACCTTTTCCCCATCCTCAGTAACATTTTGTAGAAGTAATTTGGGTGGATAAAATAGTTAGGACAGCAGCCCATTGAAATCATTTTCATCAAAATGAGCATGCACAAGCACACGCTTTTCAATAATCAGTTATGTCCAAGTTACTGCATTTCCTTCCTCACTCCCTGGATGGATGACTGACATAGCTTTCTAGGGTTGGAGGATCTACTGCAGTAGCATTAGAGCAGAGGGGGCGGAGTAGCTGAATAAAGAAGGGTGTAAATTTGGCTACTGGTGTTTCTTAAAGTGAAAATAGCCACCAAGGCATCAGCCCAGCCCTTACTACATTTATGCTTCAATAGCCAAATAATGATTGAATACCCACTTTGCTCTCGGCACTGTGGCAAGACACCGGAAATGAACAGTATGCCCGGCTCTCCCAAATTTCATGGGCAAAGGAACAAAGTGTAAACAAGGAGTGCACGGTGATGTTCCTACTTGGATGGCAAAACACAAGGCAGGACTAACGTGTTCCCCTCATGTCCAGGACTTCCTTTGTGTTTGGGTCGCATTCAAGGCTGTCATGAGCCGCTGGCTCCTGGTTTTGTACCTTGGTTAGACATTTGCTTCCATCGTTGTGTAGCTTCCAGAACCATGCAAAGCTGGCTGATTTGGGACAGAGGACATCAGTTCCACATCAGTTTCTGAACAAGACCCTCACTTGGCCCTAAAAATCAAGGGTTCCTATAACCTAGCACTACAGCACGATTTCCGTTCATTGCCTTTTGCCACCTCACCTGTAGCATCCCCAGCCCAAGCAAAGCCGCCGCCTGAACCTCCAGTATCTTTCCTTGCCACCCACGGGAGCTCTTTATTCCTCTGCTGCTGCAGCAGTAATAACAGATTTCACTATTCCCTCCGCCAAAGCCTGTCCCCACACCGCTGCAGAGCCCACGTCCCCGTGTCCACCCACACTCATGTTTCAAGGTCACGGGCACGGTTTCAGGTCACTCCTCTCAGGAGGGCAAGCTCACCTCCTTTTGCTTACCTGCTACTGTGTTACTTTGTGACACTCAGTGGGGGTGTGAATGAAACGCAGAAGTCATGTGAAGGTAAGAAAACCTCTGTCCCAGAAGGCGGAGGAGCCAAATGAGCATAAAAGGCGGAGGAGCCAAAGGAACACTGGCTGCTTTCCATGTTCGTTCTGCGGCTCCTCACTCTGCAGCTCCTTGTTCGGCCCTACCAGCCAACTTGAAACAAGCAAACAGCTTGTTACGTTATAATACCTTTTTTTTATTTATTTGGACAGTCGCACAGAATTGCTCAAGCTAGTTTTGTTTGTTTGTTTGTTTGCTTTGGTTTGGTTTTGGTTTTTTTGAGACAGGGTTTCTCTGTGTAGCTTTAGAGCCTATCCTGGCACTCGCTCCAGAGACCAGGCTGGCGTTGAACTCACAGAAATCCGCCTGCCTCTGCCTCTGCCTCCCGAGTGCTGGGATTAAAGGCGTGTGCCACCAACGCCCGGCCCAAGCTAGTTTTAAACAGGCAACTTCCCACCTCAGACTCCCCAAATAGCTACAGCAACAAAATGTAAAATTTAACTGATGATTGGAAGCCCCTTGCCGTCAAAGAGGATTTTCAGTCCAGTGACGTGGAAGCCCATGAAAGCCCAAGGAAAGGCCTTATTCACGATTCTGACTGCACACTCTCTGTGCATTGATAGCCCTTTTAATTGTGTGCACAAGCTTTCGATTTGGAGCTTGCTGGTACTTCTGCCTGTAAGATTCTCCCTGGGAGAAAACAGGTGAGGGGAGCAAGTATGGAAGAACCCTGCTCTGATCTGGGAGTCCTTTGATGCTTCCCTGTTTGCTATGCTCCTAGTATCCAAGCCCACCCGGAGCCACTGAGATTTTTATATTCATACTTAAAATGGCTTGTAGTTACCAAATCGAAAGCTGCCCCTCCACCTACAAGTGGGCTCTTCAGAGCTATAGAATGTTTGTTCTGTCCAAATTGTAAGGAACTATTTGGATTCAAGTCACCACTCCCCCTGTAAATGATGAGAATTTATCAAATGATGTAAAAGCTGCCATGCCTCATTTGGCTCCTAATTAGATTAATCTGACAGTGTAATATATGTACCCAGACATCTTAACAAAGATGTGTTCCTTGGGAAAATGTGATTTTTAAACAAACAAAACAAAGACACCCATAGGCTAGTAGAGACACATGGCAGGCCCACACTCCTAAGAGGAAGCCAGTACCACCTCCGACCTTCATGAGATGTTCTAAGATGAGGTGACAACAGAAAAAGGACAGAGAAAAGAAGAGCCCCCACTCAGAAGGTAGGTGGAGCCTTTGATTTGAGAGTACTAGGCCTGGTGCCCAGAGGTGGCTCCCCAAGGCTCCACAGCAATCAACAAGAATATATGAAATACTCAGTGTTTGTCTTAAACTCTGGTAGACACCCAGAGAGAAAATTCACAAGAAATGAGCTCTACTTATTAGAAAACTATGGTGAACCACATAGGGAAACAATCTCTGGGCAAGACTCTCTTACAGAACACAGTACTAACATCAGGGTGTCCTTGTTCCAACCCAGGATTTCTGATATGATGAGAAATGGGTTTTGATGATCTAGGGACCAATGAGACCATCTGGGATAACTACACCTGAGACTTTCCTGGGGCATCCTGGTCTTGATCATCCTGTTATGATTATTAATAGTTTCCCTGTTACTCTCTAGACCATCCTCATTTGACTGGTGAATTATATAATTTCCCTTTATTAAACAGCCTATTCAAGAAATAGCCATTGTGGCTAAGAAAAGTGTGTGTCTAATGTACATACTATGTATAACAAGTCTTAACATCCACTGAGAAAAATGTTTTGTTTTCCATTAGTGAAGTACTTATTTAACAAATCAAGTTTTTGCCTCTACAAGGCTTATCTCTAATCTGCTTTAGGATGACTTTTGCAACAGCTTATTTTAGTAGTCAAATTCCCAGTGAACTCCCCCAATCTAGAAACTGTAGACATGTTCAGATCTAGAACATGACAAACTTGAGTAGAGAAAAACAAAGTTAGGAGGTTCCACACAGTTAGGTATCAGGCCACGCCATTCACATTCTATCACACAGACTAAGTCCAATTCAACATGACAACAATCACCTCACTGAAAAGGACTTAGTCTTGCCTGCCCCTGGCCCCTAGGAGAGATTGTATCCAGATAACAACAAATAGAAGCCCATCACATCTCCTGTTTCTGAGAGCAGGCAAGGCAATATGGAAAGCTTCCCAGAGAGCATGAATGCAGCTCACTTTGTCTTCCACAGCAAGTCCTAGAGCATTTTCTAAGTATGTTCCTCAGTGCAGGTGAAGCAAAAGAGCAGGCCCCGGCAGAGAAAGGAAGAAAACTCCTCACTCTCTGACTCCCCGCTCACTCCTGCCCCTTGCTTTGAAGCTAAAGTGAATTACCACTGAAGTCACCCAAACTTTTTTCTCTTCACATTGAACCTTGGTTATTATAAATAACAATTTAAGAGGTTCAACATGTCCGCACTCACTCAGTAATTCATCGCTCAAGAGCGTGATCATAAACATGCCAAGGGCCCATCTGTCTGGTGGATCTGAAGGGAGAGCCTCTTTAAAACAGAAGTTCCTCTTGAATTTCTCTACTAACATCTCACGCCATCCACTTTCCTTTCCAGAGATTAGGAACCATAGTAAGCCACAAAGGTCCCAGCAAAGGCAGCCATCAAAAGTCCCAATGCAAATTGTTTTTCAGCACTCCACCTGGAATAAAAATTATAATGTGTAACAGATCAAAGGTTGACAAATATGGTGGTCTTCACACCATGGCTTCTATCCTTTTCTATTGCTGCTCATTATGGAAAGCTTCCAGTACTCAGTGTAAGGCACACACAGTTCATATTGTTCTCAAGCCAAGGGTTAGCTCCTTCCCTGTTATCAGTGAACAAAGGCTGGAGTTTGCAGTGCCCCCGCCCCATCCTAATCACAGAGCCATTTGGAAAGGTGGGGTAGAAAATGACACACCACACCCCCGGAGAGTCAGTGATGAGAGAAAGTGATGTTGGGATGGCCACATCACACAAGGAAGCATCTGCCCGGTGCCCAGAATGAGAGCTCAGAGGCCCATGTGAGACCTTGAGCTGGCGTGAGTCCAGAACCATGTGATTCAAAGCTTGGTATTGCATGCTGGAGAGGGCAGATGTATGGATGCCACAAACACAGGCAGGTATGTAAGTAATCATGAAAGTGCATCTAGCTGTACAAGCAGCATGCTTGCAAGTAAACATGGGGCTTAGCCCTGGCCTGAATTGCCTGGACAGTGATGCTGTCCTACAGGCTTAATCAATTTACCTTTCACCTGTGTTCTTTCAAACACAGTCTTACTGTAGTGAAACATTAAAAGGAGATGTAGAAAGTGTTCAGACACTCTTATGTGTGACTTAACAATAGGACCATAAAAGTGAGAAAATAGTGCACATTATCATTTTAATACCCTCAGCTGTACTGTAAAGGTAAATTCTCTCTGCCTTTTATCACTCTAACCTTGGTGTGATTTATGTTTATGATCTGACCTGTGGGGGAGAAACTGTCTTTTAGTTTGTGCTTCTAATATATCACTTTGCCTCCGTAACATTTTGGAAAATGAGGTCGATAAATCCATTAAAGCTGTGTGTGCCATTTTTTGGTAGGTAGACCTTGATTAGTTCAGAAATGTGCTTTCAAAAATAGTATCTTTGGGTAGCTGTCTAGAAAACTATGATAACATCTATATTTCTTTCTTTTTTTTTTTTTTTTTTTTTTTTGGTTTTTCGAGACAGGGTTTCTCTGTGTAGCTTTGGAGCCTATCCTGGCACTTGCTCTTGCTGGCCTCGAACTCACAGAGATCCGCCTGCCTCTGCCTCCCGAGTGCTGGGATTAAAGGCGTGCGCCACCAATGCCTAACATCTATATTTCTATCAGCTTCCTTTTAAAATTGGAAATCACGATGATGTGAGCTAATAATATAGACAGTACAGTAAACATGAAGCTACAGCACATTTTCCTATGTTTTGGGAATTAGACATAATCCCATAGCTTCTAAATTTATTTTATTCAGTAATTTAAAACTTGGTGCCTCTGAAATTAGATAAAGGGTAGAAGGGCAGAATATTATGAAAAACTAGACTTGAAAATCAGTCCTTACAGAGCGTTCTTTGGTGTCAAAGTGTCAGTAGTGCAGATTCCCAGTGTAATCCAAAGTATTTTTATGAATAAATACAAGACCACCAGGACTTCAGAAAGTGGAATGTAATTGTTACATAGCAAGTAAGTGCTAGTGAGATTATGATAGCATAAAGCGTCAGTGTTGCACTAATGGGAGTGTTTAGAAGACAGCAGTCCTCCATCCTTGACCTGAGTCTGCCTTTCCAATGACAGAATGTTTCTCAATAAAAGTCCTAGACGGCCAGAGGAAACAAGAAGACTTAAAAAGGAATGTTCCGCTAGAAAACTAATTTTCCTTTATACAACTTCCCTGGCAGGCATGGTCCCTGTGCCCTGTGATGGAATATCCCTCTACACTGTGTGAAGATGTGTCACTGTGATTGGCCAAAGAAAAATCCACCTACATACAGTGCCCCACTAAACAAAACTAGCTCACTGTACAAAATGAACTGAGCTCCAAATTGGTACAATATAGTCTCACTGTAATATTTTTTGAATTTGTTGATAAAACACCAGTATTTACAATGCTCCATATAACATTACTCTATCATAAATGACAGTAGCATTGAGATGTTCTGTGATGAACTACTTGAGTCTACTTGAATTACTCTTAAGTTGACCCCGCTATAATAAATAATCATTTATATGATCATTTACATGACTGTAATAATAATGTTCTTACATGTATTCCAACTTAAAACTGACTTACATATTAAATATAAGCAGGGTACTTCTTGCAAGAAAAACTTACAATTATGTTATCAATGGTATGCCTTGTACCCTAAAAGGATTTGGTAACTTTTTAATTTTGATAGTATGATGAGATATATTAAGTTTGTCATAAAGGCAGAAACCCTGCCACTCTTAGATGAATCTCAACAACTCATCCTATCATAATCCTTATTTTCTTGGGTGTTTATTGGCAAGGGGTCTATATACATGTGACTTCCACATGTCCCATATTAAACCCCATCATATGGTTTAGAAATGTGTCTGTGGACAGAACAATAAAGGAAGATGATGAATATTGGAAAATTGTAGAAAAGAAATTCTACCATTGTGAACAGGGAGTGATAGCACACACATCTAGAGAGACTGCAGCAGGAGAATCCCGAGTCTGAGGTCAACCTAGCCTTCCTAGTTTGGAAGAAGGAAGGGAAGAAGGAAGGCGAAGAGGAGGGTAAAGAGAGGGGAAGAAGGAAACTGTAACAACAAAGGAGTGTGGGGTGGTGTTTCCACGACACTAGTAAAGACAGAGTACATGATTTGATAGTGATTTGATTTTAATTACAAGAAAACTAAAAACAAAGCGATATTTTCATGCAATTTTTCCCTGAAAAACAATCTTGAAGAGTTGTCTGGGATAAAGTTCAGGATAAGTGATGTACTGCTCTTAGCATCCTGGGCTTATCTTGCATCTGTGCAATGAAGTATTTTCAGATTTTCACACAGCCTTGCAGCCCATCTCTTCCTCCCTCTGTGGTACAGTAGCTTGGAAAAGCAAACTAAAACCCAAATAATGTCACTCCAGTAATAAAACATAGGAATGTCATTTTCTATATGCTCAATAGTTACAGATAACATCTCTATGTCTTAAGCATGGCTGTGAGGAGGTAGGGTAGGCCTGCATGCTTCCATATACCACCCCTTATAAATCTTAACCCATGAGAGCAGCTGGTCTCCAAATACTTCTGTCACAGAGAACCAGGGTTTCTAGAGTCCTAAAATTCAAAATATGAATTTCCTACACTTAAAAGGTGTTTCATGTTGATGTTAATGAATTTATGTTGTTATACATATATTGTAGGCCATATCGTAATTCTCATGAAGGCTCTCTGTTGCCAGAATGATCCAGTTTAACTCAACTACTTGAACATAACCTCAGCTATCAAAATTATTAGAAATCTCAAAACATTTGGACTGGTGTTAAATCAGTATGATCACAGGTTGAAATTTTTACTTTTCATCTTAGCGTTTTATGAAAAAGCTTCATACTATGATCTTGAAGAACTCTTGCTGTATAGATTTCAGGTTCTGAATTGACATATTTCCAAATAAATATTCTTATAGTGAAAATAAAAACATAGTAAGATTTGGAAATGGTATTTTTCCATGCTGATAAAAGAATCCATATTTTTCTATTTTCATGTATGTGAGAATACATGAACATACATATACATAGGCAGGTAAATCTATCCACTAACTCCAAAGTGAAAAAAAATAACCCTGAACATAGGATTTGGGTTGGGGGAGTTATAGTAGCAACAAGAAGAAACTAAAAATGAATTTTAAAATGCCATCAATGAATTTCAACTTTAATTCCCCATTTTCCCATCCAGAACAAGTGCCACCCAGGACCAGTTTTCGAATGGATTCCTCTGGCAAGTATTCAGAACTCACAGTTCTGTGAACACACGTCTTCCACTTTGTGTAACCAGTCATTCTCCTGAGCGGTATCAACTTTTCACTATGTAATATTCACTGTGATAACTAATTCACCTACATCACATATGTCCAAGATAAAGGGCAAGCCTCATCATGGTGGGTATGGATGCTTGCAAACCAAAGACAAGTATTAGTGAATGTCCTTCATAAAAAAGTTACTAAAAGACTACACTTAGAACCAACTGTCAAAGAAAACCATATGACTAGATAGATCTGTGTTGTTCAGTATAGCAGCCACTAAGTACTAGAACGCCAATTTTGATATATTGTCAAATGTGTGTGAAATCCACACTCGATTTCAAAGACTTAGTACAAAAATAAGCCTTGTTAATTGTTTTAAGATTTTGTCTCAGTTAGGGTTTCTATTCCTGTGATGAAACACCATGACCCAAAAACAAGGTTGGGGGGGGGGGTTAATTCAGTTTATACTTCCACATCGCTGTTCATCTCTGAAGGAAGTCAGGACAGGAACTCAAACAGGGCAGGGTCCTGTTTGAGGCAGGAGCCATGGAGGAGTGCTACTTACTGGCTTGTTCCTCTTGGCTTGCTCAACCCACCTTCTTATAGAACCCAGTACCTCCGGTCCAAGCACCACCCAGCATGGGCTGGGCCCTTCCACACTGATCACTAATTGAGAAAATGCCTTACAGCTGGATCTCAAGGAGGCATTTCCTCAGCTGAGGCTCCTTCCTCTCTGATGACTCTAGACTGTGTCAAGTTGACACAAAACCAACCAGAACAGATGGTGTTTTGATAATTAAGTTAAAATAGGTTATTAAAATTGATATTATTTGCTAAACTATTTTTAAAAGTGGTTGCTTGGCAATATTAAATAATTTCTATAATTTAAATTTTATTTAAATTGAATCTTGCTAAACAAGACAAATGGAAACAAGAAGGTAGAATATCTCAAGAGAGGAAAGCTAAATATTTTTTTTTAAAAGCCATCTTATTAAAGAATTAGCTAACATAGATTGAAATTATTTTGAGTTTAATTAAATACCTATATCAATTTGGTTTTTTAATAATTCCAATTACAAAATGCTATATTTTAGTACTATTTTGAGCTAGTATACAATATCATAGCTTCTAGTTTAAGAACTTAAGAAATATCTTAAGAATTTTACTTGGATTTTTTTATCTTGCAAAAATACATTATCATTTGTGATATAAGCTAAAATATACAACATTGTTATAGATACAAAGGAGGAAAATATGAGCTAGACTTTCTTTCCTCCTCCAGTTGCTATTGAAACACTCTTAACAGCTGGTTAGCCTGCTAGATGGGAATTCCAGACACTCAAGGCATTACAGAAAGGCGTGTTTCTCAGGAACAGCTCTGTTTCTGGCTGTGGGCTTCAGTACACATCCCAGTGTGTTTCCATGATGAAGACTCATTATCCATCCCAGGGTTCTCTAACACCCCTTTGGGAACATCTGCACTGGAGGTCATCCATTCCCTAGGTTTCTGTGTCATTTTTTGAGTATGTACAAAACATGGAAGATACTACAGAGCATGCAAATAATGTCTGAAGGAATTTTTTTAGCTTGGTCTGAAATCTTTAGAGTGTAGCTGCTCTTTCATCTGATTGAGACACTGGCTGTAGAATCCTTGTAATGTTTAAGAATATCTTATGCCCAGGGAGAAAATGAGGCCTAGTAATTATGGTTAAAAAATGAAATCAGGATTTAAGGTGGAAATCTAAAGCTCACTTAAACTAGCCTCATAAAATCTATTTCTTGAAAAATCTCAATGTCTAAATGTATTTTATTCAGAAATAAAAGAATAGGAGAAGGATTGCCCAATACCTTAGACTATCTTGATATACGTACAAAGTCGTACTTTAAATTTAAAATACAAAAGATAGTTATAGTTTGAATACCTTATTCTAATGTGTGACTCAAAGTTTCATAAAAGATCCAATTCAAATAATTTGTTAAGTGTACATATCAAAAAATCACAGAAAATTATGATTATATCTAATAAACATCTCTATGATAAATTTCTCATGTGTTTATCAAATTATCAAAGACAAGACAGCCAGACAAAGTGAGCCCAGCTGTAGAGTACCGCAGAAACCACTTGCAAAGAAATCTTGTTTTGTTTGGGATGGTTTTTGAGAATTCAGGACCATAAAAGTCAAATCAGCAGCAGTATCAGTGCGATACAGAAATCAATCAAATGAGAAAAGAAGAAAAAGTCTATTCAGTTTGTTATTAAAGTATTAGAAGGACCTTAAAGAATGGTGGTACATGGCTTTAATCCCAGCACCTGGGAAGCAGAGGCAGGCAGATCTCTGTTAGTTCAAGGCCAGCCACGTCTACATAGTGAGTTTCAGGACAGCCAGGGCCATGTAGAAAGACCCTGTCTCAACAAGAAAAAGAGAGGTGAGGAAGGAGGGGAAGAGAAAGGGAGAAGGAGGGGTGAGGAGAAGAGAGGGGAGGGGAGGGAGGAGGGGAGAGGGGAGAGGGGAGGGGAGGGGAGGAGAGGAGAGGAGAGGAGAGGAGAGGAGAGGAGAGGAGAGGAGAGGAGAGGAGAGGAGAGGAGAGGAGAGGAGAGGAGAGGAGAGGAGAGGAGAGGAGGAATTCAGTAATCAGAAAGCTAAAACCAGCCTGGCCAAGAATGAGGTCAGAGATGGAGCAAAGACTAGGTTTTTGGGAGAGAAGAGCAGATATGATAGGGGAGAAGGCAATATTTAGGGTTGAGGAAATCTGAGTTGTTTGTAGAACCAGAGAGGTGCCAGAGAGGTGAGGGCTTCTATTATGGCCACAGCGTGCTGGGCCACCGTCATATCACCGAAGGAATAAATGGGGTAGGTAAGGAAGAAAGATTTTTCTAGAACCAAATGCATCAGCTGCTTATCTATGATGTTTGATTCGGTGATTAAAAGCAACTAATTCTTCTTTAACCCATTCAGTATCTAGAATGCCTGAAAAATCCTGAACCCATGGGAACATTGAGTGACCTTCTTCAAATCTTTATTCTTTCCTCAGTCTTCCCTAGCTCCCTTTACAAGAGAAAGCCACAACAGCAACACTCTTTTCAATAGGGAAAATAAGTACATAGAGGCTTTTGTGCCAAAGGTGATACAATGAAAGGGATTAACTACCAAAATTTAATTGACATTTATAATAGCAGCCCATGTGCCAATTAATCCATTAAAAAATGCTGTTCTTTGCAGTTTTGAAGAATGAATCCATTCAAAAATTAATCAGTTGTGTTTGTCATTGAGCCTTTGCCCTAAATGCTATGCTAAAACCATGCTTTGCAAAGGCATAAGCTCTTACAGCATGTTAAGTCTTCTGGGATCTTAGTGCAAACAGGAATCAGCTTTTAAATTTTCATTCTCCTTTATTATGAGGGAAGTTGTGACGATAACAACTATTTAGTACTTTTTTCCTTTGAGACAGAGTCTCACTATGTATTTGTCTTGTGTCTTGAGCCTGCATTGATCCACCTGCGTCTTCTTCCCAAGGGCTGGGATGGAAGTTTGCACCACCACACCTTGCTTTGATTACTAGGTTTTCAATGTAAGCTTTTATAGCACTGCTGTGAGCCCAGGATACCTTAGGGCTTGCGCATCCTCTCACTAGCTTGCCTCAAAGGTCCTACAGGATGCCATCAGAGAAGACTGTCATGAAATGCTTCGTTTCTTAACACCTGTGTCTGCTAGGACCCAGCTTCTAAGGAAGACATAGTACTGGCCACGGCTAATCATTGAAGGTAGCATCTGAAGAGCCCACCATGGTCCTTCTAAAAGGGAAAAGAAGAAAAGAAAACAAACAAGGAAACAGAAATGACAAGGCTGTCAGAGGCATGGTTGAGTGGCATCCTAAGTTCCTCAGGACAGATCAGTTACCTGCCAGGCCCCTTTATCTAATGAGCTCCCAAGTGCATGGTTTACTTCTAGACAAGCTAGAGGGTGGCAATGATTAACTACTTAGCTGCAGTGGTAAAGAAGGACATGTTTGTCCCAAGCTGACTTACATTAATAAGGGGAATGATAAAACATGATACAGTAATGGAGCCCATCACCTGGTCAGGACAGCAGCCAAGGTGAGGTCTTAAAAACATCCACTCTTTCCTAACAAAGCAAGGAGGAAAAAAGAGCAATGTATCTTATCTTTGTACATATAATTGTAGTTACGTTGTAAGGCCAGACTCAGACAGGAGGAAAAAGGAACAAAAGAAAAATTATCTTTCTAAAAGCCCTTTTTAAAAAAGAAATTACCAATTAAGACAATCTATCATTTAAACTATTTTTCCAGCTAATTGTGCCTCTAAAGTTCCTAGCCCTGCAGTCTGCAAAATTAACAAAAAAAAAAAATTAAAAGTCATATCTGCTTGCACACCTCTCTGGTGACCCTTCTCGGTCTCTGTCTTACTTGGGTGCCACGTTGTTCACATCTGCCTTGAAGAACAGAGGGTGAAAGTGGCAGAGTTGGGACTCCCCTCCCCCGTGTGCAAGCACACACAGCAGGTCAGAGCAGTAGCCAGAACCCATGGGGCTAGAGAGATGGCTTAGCAGCTAAGAGCACTTGTTCTCCTGGGGACCTAAGTTTTGTTCCCAACACCAACATCATGTGGCTCACAGTGTCTGTAACTCTAGCTCTGGGGAATACAATGCTAATGTTTGGGCCTCTGCAGGCAGAAGTGTATAAACACACACACACACACACACACACACACACACACACACACACACACACACACTTTTTTTTTTAAGTCACAGGCTTATAACTGTCAGGAAAAGTACATTAGAAAGTAAAAGGAGAGGTGAGCACCTTGCTCGCAGAATTAAATAAATTAACCAGATAAAATCTAGGACTTTTTTTTTCCACTTTAAAAAACTGAGTCATTTGCTAATGAAAATTTTTCATGTTGAACAACAATACTCTTTAACATAAACCAAACTCCTCACGTACCTTGACACATCTCAGAACTCCATTGCTGGGACTGTCACAATTTTGGCCTTTTCTTATTGGGGAAATCTCTTAACTGAGATGTATCATACAGTAAAACCCCTTTGAAGTTTCCCTGGCAGTATTCACAGGTATCAAATCACCGAAGAAGCAATTTTCCACTTGTGCGTACACACAGGTCATGCAAGAGCGAGGAGAAGCAGGTCAAAAGTTCTGTCTCTTTAAATTCAGAAACACTGACACCTTATTTTTGTATTTCCCATGTTTCCAGACAGGAGATTAGAATGAATAGTTGCATCCTAAGCGGCTTGTGGAGATCCGACTGTGATGGGCTATTAGCTGTCATCTCCCATATCTCCTTGTGTTTCTCCATCCCTTGGAAAAATACTGCCGTGGTTTTATAGGATTGTCCACCTGCCTCCAGATGCCCAAAGGCTGATTGAGTTTACAAAGCACTTTGTCATATAGTGTTGAGCAAAGTTTTCATCATTTCTTTACCACCGATTCTAACTAATAATTGGACACATCTAAGTTTTCCCATGTTTAAAACACAAAAGATTGTAAAGTTTAAACAGGATGACTAGTGGAAGTCTGATGGTTACTCCTCTTGGCATGTGTTAGTAGCTGAATGGGAAAGACCTCCATTGTGTGTGTGGTCATAACAGACATAGACGCTTGTGAGCATTGTACAACCTACACATGTGAAGTGCCTATGGGCCAGGGCCACTCTCTTAAGAGAGCACCAGGGAACCATCGTTTCCCCACATGTCAGAAGTGGATGGCTTACCCTTCATTGATCACTGGAAACAGCTCAGGTGGTTGGGTACAAAGCCTAGCCTAGAACGGCAACATTGGGTGTGCTGTGTGCAGTCCTTTACCAATGAGCCCAGGAGAGATACATAGCTATCACTCAGTGAGGCCCTGTCTACCGTAACTAATATTCTATGTCTAAGTGGCTTGGTGTTTTCCGGAATTTTGCTTTTTGTCCTTGAGGACTCTTCTCTGAAATCTCATCCTAATTTCCAAAACTGTGCTGTTTAAGCAAGGGGAATTTTATTGAAGGCCTGTTCCTAATACTACCTCTCAACCACTAAAGCCCAGAAATTGCTAAGTATTTCTTAAGTCAAAGATAGTATAATAAATATTCCTCCCCAGGATGGTTGTCCTGAAATACTAACCCACAATCCCATCACAAATGACGTGTATGAAAGGAGATGTGTGACAGTTTATTCTAGAAACAAAATAAATGCCATTCAGGACAGTTTTCCATTTCTCGTAAAGGTCCATTTTTGTTCTGTTGGTACAACTTTAGATGGGTTTCCCTTCTCTAATTTACTTTCTAATTTACTTATGGGATCAACAGTCCATAACGTTTTCACATTAAAAAATATCTGGGGGAGAAATTCTTCTTAGGCCTCAATAGAGTTCTACCTATACCTTATAGAGAGATTAAAGGAGCATGCCCAAAAGACATAAATTATACCCTACAAATACACACATACACATACACATTCACACACACACACACACACACACACACACACACACGACAACGGCCAACACTGGATACATTGAATTGTAAACAGATGGTAGTAGCTTCCTAGGCAGTACTTGCAGACACTTGCGGGTTTTGCCATCTGCTCTCTCACTCTTTTCTGAGGTAATCAGAGCAAACATCTTCAAAGTCACAGACCAGCTTCTTAAAGGCAAACCAAAGGCTCTCAGGAAAATTAGAAATTATACAACCATCAACTTTTTTCACTCAGAAATCCATGTGTTCTCTCTACCTGTGGGTAATTCTGTAGCGATGCCCTGGGATGCTCACTGCCATTCTGGGAATGACATACATTTAGGGTCCTACTACTTTGCCACCACTCTCTCTCTCTCTCTCCTCTGTGCTTTTCATTGACTAACAGCACTCTCATTAATCACATCCACAAAAATTAATTTATCATTGGTGTGTTCTGTCCCTCGGGAGATGGGAAGAGGCAGTATTCATTACTCAATGGGATTTCCTTTATGCCAGGTCCAGATTATAAGGAACTGGATGTCCACCTTCGAAGGATGGAGTCTGGATTTGGCTTCAGAATCCTCGGGGGAGATGAACCTGGACAGCCTGTAAGTTGAACCCACTTTATATCCACACATGACTGTTTTGTGTGTAGATAGCAGGGAGAGTATCATTCAGTGTCATAGCCAAAAGGAAATGTTTAGAACACAAAGAAGACTGCAATCTGTTCTCTCTCTTGTAGTTCTCTTCACAATACCTCACCAAATACAAGCATCTCCACAGTCATTATCTGCTCACAAACCTCCCTGGGAGTGATGGTGCTGTTTCTAAGAATGGACTGATTTTTGTTGAGTATTTCAATTATTAATGACTCTGCAACGTGGGATTCTCTAAGAGGCAGTCATGAAGCATGACAGAACAGGTGGCAGGAAACCACAGAATTATACACGCTTTCGACAAAAACCATCAGGTAGAAAACACAGGGGTAAATAGATGTAAAAATCAAACTCTCTCCTAAAAAACCTGAGCCAAACTGAATTAAGGTATTATGAAAAGAATATTTTCATGAGGTCAGCAGCAGTTGAAAGAATGCTAGGAATTTAAGAATGGTTCTGTAGTAATTTTTATATTGATATATGCATAGGCTATGTGGATGTGCATACTCAGAATGAAAGCATAAACTAGCAATACTCACTGATACGCAGAAAACATAGTGAACCTAGATTTGTGAGCTCACATTAAAATATCCTCCAGGAAGCACTCACTGTAAGGCTATTTCTTACATGCTCAAGGAGATAAAGGCGAGTGTGAGCACATCCCACCCTAGCTCACATGAGACACCAAACTAGAAGCCTCAGTTTGCTCACCTGCAAGATGAAGGCAGCCAGAATAAACATCCCATAGAATGGAATTAAGCAACAAAGATGCCATAAGTTAAAACTCTTGGTGCCTGGACTGTAACAAGCTCTAAATAAGTGTCTATGGTCATCAGTCTTGTCTGCCACATTCGTAGATTGTTTCCCAAAAGAAGAAAACACCAGTCTAACACAAGTAAGGAACCCATAATAATTAAAAACTGCTCCCAAGTAGATGACCCTGTATAGAGTGAGCTCCTTCACTCTAGAGATATTCAAGCAGAGTCTAACAAGAACGCTGGAGATGCTTCTACTGTCCTCACAAGAGGGGCTCTCCTAGGTAATATGAGGTCTCTTACTGCAGAAAACTCCAGGGAAAGGGTTTCTAATTCCCAGGAATAAAATGGGCAACAATCACCCAGCATGCCCTAAGCCTCCAGCTGCCAAGGAAGATGGGAAGACACACTGGCCAAAGATTGGTCCCATTGATGCCCTTCGTGTTTCAGAATGGGGGAGGGCACCAAGATAATGCAGGCCCCAAGGATCTTTAGACTTAGTGGAGGGACTTGGTTATGGGGCACGTAGTTAAGGATAGCATATTCATTTCTCCCCTTCACAGCAGCATCCTCACCTTGTCACCTGGTTCTGAGAACCTCAGTCTCCTGCGCAGTCCTCCAGCCTGATTCCCCTCAACAGCTCATTTCATATGCAAATGGCTGAGATGTCATGGAACTTCGTCGTCATCCATGTACATGTTGACAACATTGATTATGTCTCCAGGTTCCTGGCCTCCACAGCATGTTAGTCTGACTTTGCTTCCTTCAGAATGGCTCAGACATGTGTGTTCCCAAATTTGGTTTGGTCAGGAAGCATTTCTATTCATTCTAAGCAAGGATTTCATCTTCTCCTTTTATTTCTTATTCCATAAATGAAAACTTTGCCATTAACCAGAGTTACCCAGATCTGAGCTTAAAGTCGTCATCTACCCAAGTCCACCCAGGACTCTGAATATCAACTGAAATGAGTTTGCTAAACTACAAAGAGAAGTGTGTCTGAAAACTGGCTGCACTTTAGACCCAGCTGTAGATATGATGTCCCTAATGTGACAGTTTCACAGGATATAAGTTGAGTTGTCTAGAGAAATACTGTGTACATGAACAGGGCTCTCGAGGTAGCTTGTTCACTTGTAGATAATCCTGGAAACTGAAGATTCACTGTGTGCTAGTCTCTGGCTCAGGAAACCTTTCCAAGACCAAAGGAGTCTCAACTATGAATGTCTCATAGCTGTGGGACCACCAAAGCAGCCTGTTGTGAGCTTTATCCTCTGAAATAACCAGGACTCTTCAGGCTAAAACACGTTCTGTTTATAGGAGTAAGGGGAATGTAGCCCAGGCTATCCTAGCCAGCCCTCCTTGTTATAATAAAACTTTAGTTTTATTATAGTGAAAGAATAGATATGAGAACCATGACAAAGAAGAAATATTCCTACCACCACATCAGGAAAAAAAAAAAAAAAAACACCTCAAATGCAAAGTCTCCCATATTCCACAGCCATTTTGCCAATCAGGATTTTAAATCAAACTTTGGTGACTAGTGCTTTTGACTAAGGTTTCATACAGGGACACAAGTAATTGAATCAACAGCTCCATGGACAAATTCCATCTCTAGTATCCTCTTTTTGCCAGAAGCCAGATTGATATCACAGACCTCAAAGGTCCAGCCTGTGTTTACCAGCTTCTGACCCTGTGGGTGTGTCTCAGTCGTCTCTTCAATATGTTAACTATGCTTCAAGGAGCTCACCATGGACCTTAAAGACATCCATTTTGAAAGATTGACAGTTACCTCTCATGAACCAAGGACTGTGACCAGACCTCTCTTTGGACCAAGGTGAAGTTGTTTAGAACAAAACCAGAGTCTTCGATGATACCAAATAAAAGAACTCATAATAAAATAGCACGATATGTTAATTCATAGCTTTCTCTAGTGGGCACTGAGACACTGCAGGCCATGTGACAACAAACCCAGACAGAACCCACCATGCTCAGGCTGACACATCAACCTCAAGAGTTATTTCCAGATAGACGTGTTCTCTGTTCCAGAACACATTGACTGAAATGTGTTTGTTTATCAGACCAAACCATGAGATCACTCTTTTTTTATTTTTTTACAGTCACCATAGAGATTGTCAAAGATTATCACTGCTGATTATACTGCAGCATATTGGGTAAAGTTTTCAAATAGTGTTAATTGCACCTTGGATAAGCTTCATTGGCTATGGTACTACCACTGTGTAAAGTTCCATGAGCTTCTTGAAGACAGGGACTATGATTTGATGGGAATTTTGTCTTCCAACCTGACACAGACCCTGGTACAACATATATGTATTAAGTGAAACTGAATAGGGTAATTATCCTCAAGACAAAACTGAATGTTCCAGAGTGAGTGCTGATCTCCCGTTTATATAGAGGCCTCTGGAAAATGGGAGTGGCCTAGTCCTAGAAGCACAGACGATGTTCCAGCATCCCTGTGGAATGCTCTTGATCCCTTGGAATTTTTATGATGTTGAGTAGCAATTCATTTTTTTTCAATGTGATTTCCATTTCTCTTGAAAAACAAATCTAATGGCATTCCCATTATGACAACTGGCTGGAGCCAGTTGAGACCAAGCATAACCAAAGTTCCTAAAATTCCTACTCATTTACCCAACTTCCTTTGAGACTGCCATCCAAGACAGTTAAACTAAAAGAAAATAGGAGGGTGAATACTTTAGATCAAAGGAGCCTCCAACCTGTGCCAAATCATGGTTCATATAGGCCTGAGCACTGACAATATTGCCATTTTAATTCAACATAGCCTTTTGGTCCTTTCTTCTGTGCATAAATACACATATATTAAGCTATAAAATGAACATAAGGCAAATCAACAATGTTTCAGTTTGTCTCATGGTATGGATTTTGATACCTGCTGGACCTCTAGGTTCATGACTGTCTGTTTGGCAGACATACCACCACCCCAGTTAATAAACATCACCCCCAGATATCCTTTTCTCCAGAGGTAGACAGGCTTGCCCAACTCATAGGATATGTGTAGACTTGGCTAGCTCAAAAGAGGGCGATGTCCTTCTAGACAACCTTTGGGTCGAGGCCCCTTTGGTACTCAAATGTCAGATATCCTGCATATCAAATATTTGCATTATGGTTGATAACAGTTGCAAAATTACAGTTATGAAGTAGCAACAAAATAATTTTATGGTTGGGGGTCACCACAACATGAAGAACCGTATTAAAGAGTCACTGTTCTAGACTTAATCCAACACAAAAGCAGTAGAACTGGCCAGCCAAATGGTACACATGTTGCACGGAATCAAGATCCAGTGTGCGTGTGCACAGTCCCCACTCAGGCTCAGGACATCCCTCTGCCTATTTTGCACACAGAGTCCCAGGTTCTCAGCCCTTCTGAACATAGTTCTTGCATTCCTAAATCCTTCCTCCCCTTCAGCATAGCAGCCAGACAGCAAGTATTTATGATAAGCCTCAGGTTCCATGGATTTCTGGTTATCTTTATTGTTCTTATTGGGGTTCATTCCTATTTATTCCTTCATTTAAATGACTTCCAACACACTTCCTGCAGCAGTTTCCGATTTCTGGCATTTCAGCAATAAAGTAGGAGCCTAACTCATTCCAGTGCAGGAAAAGGCTAAAAAGTGAGCCTTCAAAGCCAGAACAGAGAGTGAGGGGCTTACTCTAAGAAAAGTCTCCCATCAGCCCATCCTTCCTGCTTCTCCACACTCCGAGCTCACAGATAGATTAGATAACACACAAACCCAACCCCTACCTCATTTAATTGCTGGTGTGGTACAGTGGTTGAGGCAAGGGAGGTGATGTGTTCATCAACCACAGATCTCACAGGTCACATCAAACAGGTTTCTGAAATGGTATTGACGCCCTAGGGTTCACACTGAACACGGCAACTAGGCTTCCACAAACAATGAACAGCAGGGCTCCTGTTCAAGCAAAGTGTCCAGGCATTTTTTTTCTTTTAAGAGAGAGAGAGAGAGATGTACTTTTCTCAGTTATAACAATAGAAGTAGAAAAAAATGAAAAAATTGCCAGAAAGGAACAAAAATGAGATTTCCTGCTGTGAGCTGAAAAGCAATGAAAAGGCATCAAAATGGAAAGATCTAAAAAAAAATAAATAAATCGCCGTGTAGAAAAGACTGTGTGGAGACAAACCTTCCAAAATAAAAGCAGACA